GATAGGGTCAGAGGACAAAGCAGACTCCCCGCCGAGCAGGGAGCCCGATGCGGGACTCGATCCCGGGACTCCAGGATCATGACCTGAGCCGAAGGCAGTCGCTTAACCAACTGAGCCACCCAGGCGCCCTGAGCTGATGCTATTTAATAAGGATTTGGGGATGGTATTAACATGCCTTCGCTATAGAACCCAAATATACATGTCCCCATTAAGCTGGATTGTCAAGATAGACTCAGAGATGGGGAAGGAAAAAGGAAAGAGAGAAGGGGGAGGGCATGGTGTAGAATCGGACTTGATTAGAGGAAAGAAAATAGACACATAAAATCTAGCTTTGGGGGGCTTCAGCCTCAGATTTCCTGAGATGAGAGAAAACGTGTATTTCTACGACATCCCCAGTGTTCAATTTTCATTAATTTAATGTATTAAAGTATCAAAGATTATTTCCATTGGAAAACTTTGGGGGGTTACCATTTTGTGGTATTTTATTTCACATACTGAATGAATTTTATAGAGCATCAAAGTTGGGGTACATTTTGACAAGTTTATATGAAAAACTTGGTCAGAATCTGTCAACTCTTTTCAAAGAAAGTGTGGAAAACATAACAGATTGTGTATTGAATAATCATGTTTAAAAGAAATCTCACTGGATTTTTATATAGCAATCCATCTTAAAAAAGGCAGACCTTTTTTTGTAGGTTGGAATGTGTTGGATTATTTGTTACTGAGAGAATTCTAAGAGTAGAAAAGAAGTCTCACTAAAATAATAGCTTCAATCACTTCTATTTATTGAGCAGTGACTACATGCTTAGCACTGTGGTAAGTACTTTACATATATTATCTCATTTAGTCTTTAGAATAACACTACGGGAAGGTATTATTATTTCCATCTTACAGAGGAGCAAATTGAGTTTTAGACAGGCTAAATAACTTACCTATCCAAGATGAGAGAACCGGTAAGTAGCTGAGCCCAGAATCTGCCTGCTCTAAACCATAACAGGCCTTCCTCCCCATAGGAGGTATTTCTTTTTTTCCTTTTAAGATTTTATTTATCTATTTGAGAGAGAGAGAGCACAAGAAAAAGGGCAGAAGGAAAGGGAGAGAATCTCAAGAAGATTCCCTGCCCAGCGTGGAGCCTAATGCAGAGCTCGATCTCATGACCCTGAGATCATGACCTGAGCCAAAATCAAGAGTCGGACACTTAACCGACTGAGCCACCCAGATGCCACTCCTCGCCCCCCATAGGAGGTATTTCTATGGCAAATCTAATTCAGATCAATCCTGCTTTGGTGGCAGCAAGTCATGATGCTATATCTTATACTTCTATTTGCCATTATTATACATCAACATTTAATCCAAGACACTCTGGAAAATATCTAGACCAAAACCAAAACCGAACAAAAACAAACAAACAAACAAACAAAAAACCCTTTTCTCTTTAAAAGAAGAAAGGCAACTGGACTTAGGTCCATTATCCTTTGTTATGACCTCTAAAAGGGTCCTAGTCTTTGCATGCTCCTTGGCAAACTCACTGTACCCTGAAATTCATCTTAAAAGGATAGGTCAGATTTTTATTATAGGTTTGAACATGTTGGATTTTTTGCTACTTAATGAATTCTAAGATGGCAGAAGAGAAATTCTACAGAATCTAAGAAAAGGAAATGATTAAAAACTGATGGCTTAGATTGATTTATCACATTGGAAAGCTTGACCTCAGGTTGTTCTGACATGACCCAGTCCTGGTTAGTGCAGCTGAACCATTATTAAGGCTTCAGGGTGTTATTTTTATATAAGTGTAGGAACAAGAAATAGGAAAAAGTTAATCCCTGGCAGAATGGTGCATCTTTTCACCTATATAGCTGCTGGGGTTTGCTGAATCCTTGAGAAGTTTACCTCATATAGTTTCGGCTAACATGTTACAGCAGAGCATTTCCGGATACTGGCCAGATTAGACTACTGATAATCATGTTCATGTTCTCAGTCTCATTACAAAACCATGCAGCTTTTTTTGAGGAGAAAACAAAAGAATGATCAGATCTCTCATTTTACATTGTAACTTGCTCAAGGTCAAGCGCCAATTTAGCAGCTAAACCGAACCCAGAACTACGTGTTCCTAACTTTAACCCCTGTGTTCAGCTCTCCCATTGGAGTCTGAGCCTCTCCCTTTTCTGCCTCTTCACAGACAAAAATGAAGGTGAGGAGCATCCATCAAAACCGGCATGTTTATTCTCTGTCCCTTCTGTTTAACTCAAAGGCTCCTCTGAATCAAGGAAGCGCCGTCTTTCCTTTCTTCACTGTGCCGTAATTGTTTTCTAAGCAACACTCAGGATCAAATAAGATTTAGAAGACTTCTGGATCAAAAGAAGGTGGTAAGTGAAGACTTAAAATTTAGCAGTGAGTACATTATACATAATTTCTGGTTAGGCGTGATGGCCATGAAAGAAACAATAACTACATATGTAAAAACCAAAGCAGAAAAAGAACTGCATCGGCAGGGAGTTTATAGCCAAGATAGAACTTGGGTTTCTCTTGGCCTAATGCCATTTTCAATATACCTATAACTGAATGTAATGTAATGAAATGTAATGAAATTGGGCGCCTGGGTGGCTCAGTTGGTTGAGCGACTGCCTTCAGCTCAGGTCATGATCCTGGAGTCCCGGGATCGAGTCCCGCATCGGGCTCCTTGCTCAGCAGGGGGTCTGCTTCTCCCTCTGACCCTCTTCCCTCTCGTGCTCTCTGTCTCTCATTCTCTCTCTCTCAAATAAATAAATAAAATCTTTTAAAAAATGTAATGAAAATTGAACCCTCTAAAAAGGCTTTGTGTAGTAATGATTAAATTAAGTCATACTCCTTCATAGGTGTGGTATCGTTCTAAATGTTACCATTACATGATTGTGATTTTTATCCCCAGTCTTTCTGGGCCTAATTTATCAGCTGTATAATAAAAGAAATTTTAAAGTCTAAAAAAAAAAATTCTCTGTCCCTCTGACCCGTCTGCTCCCACGTTAATGTGTGAGGAGTGGAGACACTGGGATGCTAATCAATTTCTAACAGAAAAGTCACACAAGCTTGTGCTACAATCTAATTCACCCACACATATCTTAGAAGAAAAATTGCTGAAGGTCAATCTGGTTTGCTGTTTTTCTGCCACTAGGAGGCCTCTGGTATAAAGAAATAAACCCTTAACATTCAGGAAAATCACATTCTAACACAAGCACGACCACTAATTCAAGATCTACCCATAACTAAAATGAGTAAGTTAATTGATTCATTTCACCTCGGGCAAGTGGTCAGAGGACAAAGAGCTTGATTAAGCAAAGCCTTGGCCTTGGTAAATGGGCCATGACAGAGCTGACATCTGAGTCATAGCCTGGTCAAGATCCAGACTCTGAATCTGAACTCAGCTCTTTGAACCCACAGCTGGACACTCTGAGTTTCATTTTGAGAGAAGCTGGCTCTGACTCTTCTTGGAAAATATATAATTTTTTTTAAGGCAGAAGAGTGGTGTATCTTATATATTCTTTCTTAAAGCACTAATGTGGGCTTTTTATTTTAATATTTTGGCTCAAAGCGTCTCTAAGAAGATATGAAGCTCATGGTAAGTGGATGAAAAGTTGTTTTTAAAGCAATGTCTTTTGGAACATAGTCTAATAATATATTTTAAATAAGTTTGTTTTATTTTTTAAAAAGCAGACTGAGGTTTGAGCCAGTGAACACCAGAGGAAGGCACAAATCTAAGTCCTTGAGCAAGAAAACTTTTTTTTTTTAATTGGGTCCCAAGGAGGGGGGATTATCACAGTGCCTCTGGCCGTGATCACCCCCAGAGAATGAACACCAGTAAGAAAGGGAGAAAGCAGAAATGCTCAAAGAACAGAGAAAAGAGAGTTAAGTTTCCAAGGCCAACCCCAAGTGCTATGGGATTAAAGAAAAGTTTGGGGCACAGGAAGGGGTAAATGAAGGGAGGGCCCAGAAAGAGGGACCCAACTGGCCTTGACAAATGGCCGTAGATAATAAGGAGGTAGTAACCCCTGTGAAGCTCCCCACTGCAGGGGGCTCTGGGATTAGGAGGCCTAATATTTCATTTGTTTGCAGTGCTAAAATGCAACCCCCTCCCTGGTCCTCCTCGAAGCCTTTAAAAACACTGCCACCTAGTGGAGATAAAGATGAAGGGGTCTTTTACCACTTGGGGCTACATAGGAGAATCCTGGGGTGAGACAGGTGTGTGACCCACAGCTTAACAAGAAGAGAGAGAGAGGGGCCCCAAGCAATCTGCAGAAATAGGTAGAGGCCTCACTGGATATGGCTTTCAGCTATTACAGAAGGGTTCAAGAGAAGGCTGACCCCAGAACATGGGAAAGGAAACAGAAAAGAATCTAATAGAACTTCAGAGCAGATCTGGATTGTTTTCTATAACATTCCTGACACATGGATATGCTCTTTGAGTGGACACCTATTGTGTTGCTGTTCATGAGTTTTTTTGTTTGTTTGTTTTTAAAGATTTATTTATTTATTTATTTGACAGAGAGAGACACAGCGAGAGAGGGGAACACAAGCAGGGGGAGTGGGAGAGGGAGAAGCAGGCTTCCCGCTGAGCAGGGAGCCCGATGTGGGGCTCGATCCCAGGACCCTGGAATCATGACCTGAGCCGAAGGCAGACGCTTAATGACTGAGCCACCCAGGCACCCCTGCAGTTCATGAGTTTTTGAAATGTATGTTCCCTTCAGGGGCAACTCCTACCCCTCCTTACTCTGATCTGAAATACACTTCTCCATTAGCTTTTCTGTCCAGTGGGTTGGATTTAGTTATTCTGTGTTTCAGAGAGCTTGTTCAATGGATAATTGCATTCTGCTTCTATTAAACATTTTAATTCTGGAAGTCATCCAGGTTATTTGAGGCAGATTAGAAGTATACCGATAAGTCAAAAGAAAAAAAGTCTCTCAGTCTTACCACACTTTAATTTTAATAATGTATAAAGAATTGTTTATTTCGATTACAACAGTAAAAATTTTACATGCAACAATCAAGGAGTGGCTGGTTTGGTTAATATGTTTGTAGATATCTAAGCATTTCATATTCTGAACTTTCAGTTGTTGTAGAATGGAAATGTTTCCAAAGCACATCCTAAAATGTAGCACCTTTAAGAAACATAGAGATGTATAATGTAAACTTTTTTTTTTTTAAAGACTTATTTATTTGAGAGAGAGAGAGAGTACGAGTGGGAAGGGCAGAAGGAGAGAAAGTGAGAGAATCTCAAGCAGACTCCGTGCTGAACAGGGAGCCCGACGTGGGACCTGATCCCCTGACCCCGAGATCATGAACTGATCCGAAACCAAGAGTCGGATGCTTAACCGACTGAGCCACCCAGGTGCCCCTGTAGTCTTCTTTGGTGATATGATGATATCCTATCAATCATGGTATCAAGTATTTTTTATCAAGTGTTTATTCAGCACTTTCTGATCACCTTACTGATGAGAGAGGGTCCTCCACCCTAAGTAGCATGAGATGGTGAACACCTGACACCTGGCACTGGCCAGATGGGATGACAGCAGTTCATTGGTCACATCTACTCACAGGCTGGGGGAGGATCCTGCACGGCATGCAAAGCCACATTCGGGCTGCACCTGGGAGCAGACCGAACCAGCAGGGGCAGTGGGAGGCAAGGTTTGTAGTAACCAGAGGGGGAAGTGTCCCCAGTCTTGCAGGAGGATGCGATTGACTTGCCTGAATAATTTTGTGGGCTGGAAGGGAGCTGAGAGCGGTTAGGTTGAGGACCCGGTGAGGTGCAGCTGACCTGGCGAACAGGGAAGCTAGTCAGGTGAGCAGCCTTTCCTTCTGGGTGCAAGGCATATCTTGCAAGAGTACGGGACTCAGAGCTAGGCCTTTGGGGCCTACTGAGGCTCAAAGATATCAAGGCAGCCCATGAAACTTTAGGCCCGACACTGTAAGCACCTGCTATGTGCTTAGCAGGATGAGTAAAATGGGCCTTGAGGAACCAACGATCAAGTTTGGGATACACGTCTACAACCAAATAGTTATAATGCATTGCTGTAAGCTCTGCAGTAGAAGAGGTATACGTTGATTGGAAGCATGGCAGAAGGACTGGCTGATTGCCTGGGGCACTTGGAAAAGGCGTCATATCAAACCTCAGTTATGATAGAGGGTTGTTACTGTCGGAGCTGACAGAGGGCTGGGAAACACAGCCCCGCTTTCCCTGCACAGAGCAAACGGCCCTTTGATGACTAGTGCTTCTGGGTTTACATGTCCTTTTCCTGGCATGCTGCTCCCCCTGGAGTAACGATTGAGCCATCAGATCCATATTTTCCCATCCCTCCCCAGACATGGCAAGAACCATATGCCTGTGTCCAGGGAGAGGACCCAGAAGAGCTATTTATCCCTCTCTCTCTGGAAACAAAGCAAAACAAATAAAAACCGAAACAGAACGGTTGCCTTCCATCTCTCTCTATCTTTCCCTGCCTCTCTTCCTCTCCTCCCCCCCCTCCTTCCTCTCCTCCCCCTCCCTCCTTCCTCTCCTCCCCCTCCCTCCTTCCTCTCCTCCCCCTCCCTCCTTCCTCTCCTCCCCCTCCCTCCTTCCTCTCCTCCCCCTCCCTCCTTCCTCTCCTCCCCCCCTCCTTCCTCTCCTCCCCCCCCTCCTTCCTCTCCTCCCCCCTCCCTCCTTCCTCTCTCCTCCCTCCCTCCTTCCTCTCCTCCCCCTCCCTCCTTCCTCTCCTCCCCCTCCCTCCTTCCTCTCCTCCCCCTCCCTCCTTCCTCTCCTCCCCCTCCCTCCTTCCTCTCCTCCCCCTCCCTTCCTCTCCTCCCCCCCTCCTTCCTCTCCTCCCCCCCCTCCTTCCTCTCCTCCCCCCTCCCTCCTTCCTCTCTCCCCCCTCCCTCCTTCCTCTCCTCCCCCCCCTCCTTCCTCTCCTCCCCCCCCTCCTTCCTCTCCTCCCCCCCCTCCTTCCTCTCCTCCCCCCCTCCTTCCTCTCCTCCCCCCTCCCTCCTTCCTCTCTCCTCCCTCCCTCCTCCCTCCCTCCTTCCTCTCCTCCCCCTCCCTCCTTCCTCTCCTCCCCCCTCCCTCCTTCCTCTCCCCCCCCTTCCTCCTTCCTCTCCCCCCCTCCCTCCTTCCTCTCTCCTCCCTACCCACTGCTGTTAGCAACCCCCCAACACTTCTAACTTCTGTCGGCTGAAATGGTCGATGCTGTATACTGTTCTTAATTCTATTTTTATTCTTGTATCTTCTGCTTCTTGCCACCTCGCCTATGTTCTTTAGCTTTTAACCCACAGGGACATTGATCTTTGGAAGACAGAAGTACCCAAAGAGCATTCTCCTTTCATCCACACGTGCACATGTATTCTAGCTGGCAAGTCAACCAAACACAATCTTTGACAGTTCAACTCGCTGCTAACTGCTGAAGTCAGCGCCTGTCTTTTCTCCTGACCCCATTAGTACAGACCTGGTGTTGCTGCCATATTAGTCACAAAATAGTCATGTTTAATTAGTATTTCCACATGTTTATGTTCAGTTTGTGATAGTTCCTATCAGGATCTCTGACAGGGGCCAATAAATAGTGCATCTCTTCCCTGATGCAATCTGGACAAATGAAGGGGAAAAAGTGGCAGACGGAGATCAGAAGATTATGGTTATTACTGTTAGAGGCTAAGGTGGAGGCTGTAGCTTGGTGAGGGGCAAACGGGCCTGCTAAGTGGGTCCCAGAGCTCAGCAGAACTCTCCCAGACTCTGCCTCCCTAGAGTCTTGCCTTATGTGGGAGATTCACCCGTAAGAGAAGGGTAGTACTAACCGAGCACACAAAGGGGCTTCCTCCCCAAGCCTCCAATTCCCCCAGCTGCTTGGATGAGTGGAGAGAGACCAGGTGCATTTAAGAAAAATTTCTCCTGAGGAAAACTAGAGAAATGGGGAAAAAGCATTTCTCCTCTACCATTTCACAATGGCTGTAATGTGAAATTATGTACCTCAGAAAAACCAGCATTTGTTAACCTCTCTTCGTGTTATAATACTAAATTAACTGTTTAAATTTTGGTTTTCTTCTCTTAGATCATTCTATTAGTATATTCCATACTTGCGATGCATCTTATTTTGATGAAGGGGGGATTTACAAATTTAAAATGTTGCAGAAACACATCTTTGTGAATTCTCTCAGAAGGTATGAGTGATTGGTAGCAAATATTAGTACAAAAAAAAATCTTATCTCTTTCTATAGAATTCATTATATTCTTTTTCTACATATTCTGGAAAGTTCTTAAAAACCCATAAGACCTAATCATAACACTGAAAAAGCCTGAGATGAATTTGATACAAAAAGAAAAAAGAAGAATTTAAAGGAGCAAACACATGACACCGATTCAGTATTAAACATAATTATGTACTACTTGAAAATGCTTACTGGGTCAATTAGCAAAAAATATATGTAATGTATTATGGACATTTTCCATTTTGATGGCTTAATGTGAAATATTTGCTATGTTAAATGCAATTTAACACTTCACATTTTTTGCTTCTTATGAATAAGTTATTGATTTAAAATTTGTATGCTGCTTTAATTCATAAAAGAATAACATAGAGAAATTATATGGCACTTTAGATTGCCAAAGTAGTTTGCAAACTTTAAATGAATAATGCAGACAGCACCCCTGGGAGCAGGCCACGGACTCTCTGCACCTTATTTCCATGAGAGTTCCTAGGGAATACAGTCATACAAATCACTATGTTTAGAAACTGTACATAACTAGACATACACAATTTCTACAGGGAAGAGGGGTCTTGAGTCTATCAAACCCATGACAGACAGCTCATAGAAAATGACATAGGCAATCCTCCTATAATAGGATGTTAGGGCAGCTATGGTTAAATGTATGCATAACCATGTACGCAAGGAGAAAGAGCCTTCTAAAAGCAATCCATGATCTCACTCCGAGACTACTTGAAATGGAGACCAGGAAACCTGAGAGCTCACTCGTCCTGTGAGACTTTTTCCCCCTCTATATAAGATGGACACAATGCAGTAAAATACCATAGCAATACACATTTAAATTTGTCTTGAGAAGAGATTCATGGGGCATCCAAGCTCAGTCGGTTAAGCATCTGCCTTCAGCTCAGGTCATGATCCCAGGGTCCTGGGATGGAGCCCCACATCGGGGCTCCCTACTCAGCGGGGAGTCTGCTTCTCCCCCTCTGCCCCTCCCCCCCCATGCATGTGCTCTCTCTCTCTCTCTAATAAATAAATAAATTCTTTTAAAAAGAGAGAGAGAGTCATAAAGGGCAAGGGTAGTTCAGGAATGAACAAAGGAAGGAAACGGCAAAAAGAATGAACTTACCATGATTGCCAATTGTTTATTTTACACGCTCTGTCCTGAGAACTGCGATTAGTTTTCAGCTAGCGGAGCCTCTCTTCAGGCATTTCCCTGCATCTGTGGAGGGAGCAAATGACCTATTCTGATAGAGAACTGATAAGCTCTAGGCCAGGAACAGTTGCAATCTCTCTTCCCGGGCTCTATTTAGAGCCTCACTTTTGTTATGCCCTGATTCTCTTTTACACCCTATAGCTTCCCGCATCTCTCTCTTGCTGGCCAGTATCCGGAGGTCCTTCTGGTAGCCGGTCATTTGATAATGCTGGGAATTTCTGTCTTTTTTTAATTTCTCAAGGTTAAGACTTTAATGGGAGGTATTTTGTAAACTGTGTTCATGGCTATTCCTGTTTCTATTGCCAGATGTTAAGAAGGGTCCACACCTTCTCCAATACGTGCTATAGACAATGAATGCCCACAGGAATAGCCATGAACATAGTTTACAAAAGTTGCTAGAGAAAGAATCGTCCCCCAGCACTATTCTTTCCTTTCTTTGCTCTGCTTCGTGCCCCCTCACTCTGTGTCGAATCCACTTTCCCATGATGCTGGCTCCTGGACTACAAAAGAACAGGTCATTTCAACAGTCTAGCGGGTGCGTGTTTGTTGCCAGTAACAGGGACTTAAACAGCTAAGGGTGTCTGAGGGTAATAGAGCAGCCTACTGAAAAGACCAAGCATCCAAACTCTTGGTGCCATTTTACTCCATCATTCTTACTGTATTGGCTTTTGTCATCATCATCTCACCTCATGGCTGAAGAATAGCTTCTGTGCTTCTGATGCCATTACATCTGTTTTCTAGGCTGGAAGAAAGAGGAAGAGGATGGATGGGGCCAGCACCACTCCACTTCCATCTCACTGGCAAGCACCGGCACATGGCCACTCAAACATCAAGGGAGGCTGGGCAATGGAGATTTTTGCTTTCACTGCTTCTATTGGAGAGAAAGAGATAGAAGAAGGGGGTTGGATATGGGCATTGTATCAGCTGAACTGTAGCTTTCATCGCAAATGTCAACTGAAGAGTTCCCTTTCCAACCTCTCCCCAATGGTCAGAAGTGATTGATTCCATAGTGTTTCCTCTATCCCACTATCATACTCCTTCCCTAACTTTACATGGCACACCCTATTTGTTTAAAAATTAAATATGCACTCTGTAGGCTGCACTGGAACAAGGATAATAATCACAATGGTATTGACTTGTTCATTAATTCCCTCAGTTAATGTTCAATTACTGAATATTTATCTTTAACTGCAAAGCACTCAGGTACAATGCTGTATTTCCTGTCATGGAACATATGTCTTACCTGTATGGTGCTTTATCGATTAGGAATGCTTCCAGCAACTACAAGCATAAGATTCAAATGACAGTAATTTAAACCATATTAACAATATATAATTTACTTTTTAAAAAAATTCAAAAGGAGATATGTAGCTCCACCATGTTAGGGTGCTGGGATTATATTTCTGTGATTCCCCTCATGGTTGTAAGAAGGCTGCCACAGCTCCAAACACCTCATCCTTCAAGAATGTGTCCAAAGACAGCCGTTCTCTTTTATCAGAGAATACAATCTTCCTTGAGGCCTCCTCAGTAGACTCATTGGTTAAAAGGGTCATGTGGTTACCACTAGCTTTAAGGGAGGTTGGAAGGGAGTTATTCACCTAGTGAACAAGGACAAGGAGTTGGGGGTTAATCTTGGATAGCCAACCAAGAGTGTTGTCATAGATGCTTTACAGCTTCATGATCTCATCTTATGACTCAGTGAGACTACTCTCCCAACGTACTAGAAACTCAAACCTGGAATAAGAGGTATACGCAGCCTTTGCTATGTGGGAGCTTCTGGCTGGGAAATAATTTAAAGATCCTTTGAGGGTGCAAATTTAATACAAGGGTTTTAAAGACATTATAATGCATTTTGCCTATAAAGTATACATACAAGAACCCAAGGAGTAATTCAGAAGATTTTATAGTTTGGGAAGATAATTACATGGTGGAATGAGAAGAGAAATCAGGATACATTGATTCTAGGCTCAGCTTTGGTTAACACACCAGAAAGATTCTAAGCCTCTGCTCCCTCATCTGTAAAATGACTCCTAGACTCCTCCTCAAATATATGAATAATTCTATAATCATGATGCTAGAAGTCATGAGCTAGAAGAATGTTAAAAACCATCTATTACAGCAGCGCCTAGGTGGCTCATTCTGTTGAGCATTGCTCAGCACGGAGTCTGGTTGAGATTCTCTCTCTCTCTGCCCTTCCCCTGCCCCCTCTTTCACCAAAATAAACCATCTATTACAGTCTCTTTTTACAAATGAGAGCACTCAGGCTCAGAAAGGTCACCATTTGTCCAAATGCATTAATCTAATTTAGAAATTTGAGTCCTAGTATATAACATACTATACTTTCACAAATAATTAATATTACATCCTAATAGATCTTTAAAAAATTCAGTCTCTTGCTCTATCTTCTTTTTCATTTTAGGCAGAATCTCCCCAATAGCATTTTACTCTATTTAATAGAAAGCAGATAATGAGTTAAAGCCCACATTTTAGCTGTAAGGTCTTGGGCAAAATACCTAACCTCTCTATAAAATAATAATTACACCTTCTTCATAGTTTTTTTTTTCCTTCTTTTTTTGAGGACTAGATAAAGTAATCTAATAAGAAAAGTTAGTATAGGGATTGACACAACAAGGATGTAATCCCAGCCATCCACCTCAGTGCTTAAAATTCCTCCAAACTTGAGAAATGTCCTGGACCAATTTCCCCAGCAGGTTGTGTGGAGGGTGAGTCCAAGTCTCATGATTGTAATTTTGTCTTTATATGGTTCTATCTTCTACCTTCACATTATACAGATCTGAAGGCTCTGGGTAATAGCTAAGGGCGTGGTATATAACTGGAAGTCAGACCCATCATCTGAGCCATCATGGAACTCAGTAACCAGTGATTTCTATGAGACAATTTAAATCACTTGAATCAGGGATTCTGAACCTGGGATTCTTGGATGGGTTACAGGGGAACAGGGAACCACCTGACATTTCACTGAAACAGGTTTTCTTTTCTTTTTTTCTTTTTAAAGATTTTATTTATTTATTTGACAGAGAGAGACACAGCGAAAGAGGGAACACAAGCAGAGGGAGTGGGAGAGGGAGAAGCAGGCTTCCTGCGGAGCAGGGAGCCCGATGCAGGGCTCGATCCCAGGACCCTGGGATCATGACCTGAGCCGAAGGCAGACGCTTAACGACTGAGCCACTCAGGCGCCCCTGAAACAGGTTTTCTTAACCTCAGCAATATTTGCATTTTGGGCTAGGTAATTCTGAGGGGTTGTCCTCTGCATTATAAGGTGTTTAGCGGAATCCCTGGCCTCTAACCATTAGATGCTGGTAGTACCTCCCTCCTCATGATAATCAAAACCTCTCCAGAGGTGCCTGGGTGGCTCAGTCAGTTGAGCATTTGACTTTTGATTTCGGCTCAGGTCACCATCTCAGGGTGGTGGGATTGAACCCAGGTTGGGCTCCGTGTTCAGCGCAGGGTCTGCTTGTCCCTCTCCCTACCTCCCTTTGTACGCTTTCTCTCTCAAATAAATAAATAAAATCTTTAGAAAAAAAAATCTCCAGACCTTGCCAAATGTTCCCTAGGAGGCATAGTCTCCCTTCTCCCCTTGAGGACCACTATGATAAAGCTAAATATGTATGTGTATGTGTATATATATATATACACACACACTTTTTTTTTTCGGAGAGGCTTACCAGTCTCACCATATTCTGAAAAAGTTCTATATGACCTCAAAAGGGTTGGAAGTGATTCCTCAAATCCTTTCAATATGATAATGAGAGAACACATATCTCCAGCTGTGGTTGTGGGAAGAATGTACACCATTACGGCTAACTAAAATGATGCAATTTGAAAATTTATTATGAAATATTATATATACCTACCCATTTATTACTTCTGACTACTTTGTGAAAAAGCACTTCACAGACTATCTGGAGAAGTATCTGCTTTACATACTGCTATTCCCAGACGGCGGGATTCTTCAAATACTGTCTTTAACTGAGACTGAATGTAGCTCTAAACTTCGAAAGGGGTGAGCGCTAATGACAAGCAAAAAAAGAAATCTAAATTATTGATTACAAGAGTGATTGGATGGAGGGATGGAACGGAAGGGAAGGTGGGGGAGAAGGGAAGAGAGGGAGCGGGAAAGACAGAGAGAGAGAGAGAGAGAAAGAGAAAGAGAGAGGGAGAGAGAGAATACGATGGCTTGAAAGAGGGTCCCAGAAAGGCTATGTGTTGGGAGAGGCTCGCTCGCTGGAAGCCTCCCCCGCCTTCTCCCTGGCATGTCTGAAAAGACGCTTGCCAGGCAGAATCCCCGAGCCTTAGGCTTCCCGCTCTTATCTCTCAGTCCGCACTGGCTTTTCTCACTCCTTCCAAAGTGGCCGCATCCCAAGGATCTCCTCAAAGCTCCAAGGGGTCACTTTACCCAGTTTTAAGGCCCTCCTTTTCGTCTACACCGCCGGTAGGAGCCGGGCGCTTCAACCGCAAACCCCAGACCCAGAAAGGCAACCGGGGAGGGAACGTGTCTGGTCTCCCGCGGCCCCTCGGGAGCACCGAGAGGACCGGCAACTTTCTCCCCCACTTCGCCCTCCCTTGGCAGGAGTCGCGGCGAGTAGAGGGCGGGAGGGGCGCGGGCCGGGGGAGCCGCTCGAGCTGCCCCCGGGACGGGCGGGGACTCCCGAGTCCCGCGCGGCCGCGCCGCGTCCCCGTTGCGCCGGCCGTGGGTCCCCGGGCGCGGGAGGGGAGGGGACAGGAGAAAGAGGAGGGCCGGGCCGCCGAGGGGAGGAGGCGGTGCGAGCCTCGCCTGCCAAAGGCAGCTCTGTTCCTCTGCGTGCGATCCCGGGCGCCCCGCGCGTGGCCACCGCGCTCCGCCCGAGCCGCCGCCGGAGAGCGCGGGCGGCGGGGGCTCCGCGGGTGGCGGCGCAGCCGGGCCTCCGGGAGACCCTCCGCCTCCGGCCGGACGCCGTTCTCTGCCCCGAGGCGGGCCCGGCGTGGCCGCGGCTGTTCGGGACAGCGGCGAGGAGGAAGGGCGCTCTTCCGCGCCGTGGATGTTCCGCCCGCGGGAGACGGCAAGTTGAGTGCGCGCCCCGGCCGCCGCCCGCCAGCCGTGTGAGTAGGGCGCTGGCTGCCCGGCGCCGCGGGCTCCGCTCTCTCCCCGCGCCCCCTGCTCCCCCGCCGCCGGAGTCGGGCTGCTCCCGGCTCCGGACTTCCCGAGCGCGGCGGCGCGGTCTGCTCTCCTGCCGCCCGTCCGCTGTCGGCGGCTGCCTCCGGGGGGTGCTGCCTTCCCGTGCTTTCCCCTCCCTTCGGGCGGGCCGGCAGGAAAATGCCCCTCTTCCCCCTTCGGGGCGCAGGGATCATAGGGTGTCGTCCAGGGTGGGGCCATTGCGAGGGGCCGACTGGGGGCTTGGCCTCACCTCGGGGCGCCTCACCCTAGCTCCAGATGAGAGCCTTCCTCCCCCCAGGCCGCCCCCCCCCCCCCCCGCATCTCCCCCAGCCTCATGGCCCAGGCAGACCAAGTTCAGCGGCTAACGCTGACGCTGACCGCAGTTGACAAGATTAAAAAAGAAAAAAAGTAGTTGGAGCTTCCCTGGAGTGACACACTGGACTGGAAATGGGGCGGCGGGTGGGGAGGAAACGGTAGGGGTGAGGGCTGGGTTAAGGGGAGAGGCGAGGGAGAGGGAATTTGCTGTGGACACTGAGAAGCTGGAGTTACAGGTTCTGGGAATGGAACTGTGGGGTGCATGGCTCTGCTTCTGTATTCATTTCTTTATGGAAAGTGTGGGAAATGGTTCAAGAACTCCTTTTGAAAGGAAGGGAGGGGTGGAAGTCAATGCGGTTGAACTGTTTGAATGACTGGGGTTCCATGTGGAGTACTGGAAAGTGTGGATTACTTTTCAGATTAGACACTGACAATCGTTCAGCGGGAGAGATAGTCCTAACAATTTTATTGGAACCAATGAATCAGAAGGAAGTCATACACAGCCTTTCTTTCATTTCCACTAGGAGAAAGAAGGGAGTTAGGACTGCGGGAATTCACAAATACTACTGAATGAGTACGGGGAATGACCAATAGTTCCATCCATTCTATGTGCCTAGACAGTCCCTAGTATTTGTTGAATTTATGGTGCTCAGCCACTGTGAAAATTATCCTAATTATTTTGTTTGGGCTCGTGCAGAGTTAATGCACCTAAAGGGACACGGAAAAGTTGCTACAAATTATGAGCATGAACTTGCAAGCCAAATAAACAAACCATGGCATGGTTCACTTTATTCTAATATTTGGAATCATGTTTACTGCTATAAAAATGCTATATTACTTTTACTGCAAGCATGTGAAATAAATTCACTGACTTGGCAAATAGAAGCCATGCATTTCTTTAAGTAAATAGCTGTCAGAGTTAATTTGGGAGCATTTATGGGAGATAAAGACATGAAAAAGCTTTGAGCTAGTTTGACAAAACTTGAATTGTGGACAAGTTTCTAGGGAGAATTAGTTCTTCCCACTTTTGAAGTGTTGAGGCAAGTTTGAATGTTTATTCATTGAGAGTTGAAGCCCAACTGAATTGGTGTTATCGTTTCTCTAAAAACATTTAACTTTTAATATTTACTTATTGTCTTGCCAGGGACCATCGTCCTTACCACAGAGGATGGAAAGTTGATGGCCAGGAGGACTGAAGATCCCTTCTGTTGCTAGACACCCCCCATTACCGAAGTGTGGACTACCCGCCATTCCCTGGTGGTTTCACGCCTTCCCTCACTCCTGCAGTCCCAGAACAGTTACTGTGGGTCCCCGTTGCCCTGTTGAAAGATGGCATCCAGCCTGACTTGTACCGGGGTGATCTGGGCTTTGCTCTCCTTTCTTTGTGCTGCCACCTCCTGTGTGGGGTTCTTCATGCCTTACTGGCTCTGGGGATCACAGCTGGGCAAGTCTGTGTCCTTCGGTACTTTCCGGAGGTGCTCCTATCCTGTGCATGATGAGAGCCGGCAGATGATGGTGATGGTGGAGGAATGTGGGCGCTACGCCTCCTTCCAGGGCATCCCCAGTGCAGAATGGAGGATCTGTACCATCGTGACGGGCCTGGGCTGTGGCCTCCTCCTCCTGGTGGCTCTCACTGCCCTCATGGGTTGCTGTGTGTCGGAGCTCATCTCCAGGACAGTGGGAAGAGTGGCTGGAGGAATTCAGTTTCTGGGGGGTAAGTAACTTGTTCAGTTTGACTTGTTTCCTGGAATCCCAAAGCAATATTGAAAATGATGTAGTGGTCGTCTGCTGAAATCCTTATAATTGCCACTTGGAATGCTCTGGAGAAATAGACATGGGATGGCTTTGGTGATAGACTGACAGAGTCAATGATTTTTTTTTTTTTTTTTTACCAGAATAGCTTTAAAACTTGAAGAGATCTTAATTTCTGTACATCCTTAGACATATATATGTCATTGGCCTCCTAAGTACAACCTATATGAGGTGGTAACATGGAGATTGTTTATAATGTAGTAGGGGAGATAGTTTAGATTTTATAACTTCCTGCTCTCCTTGTTCGACAGTAAGCAATTAGATTATCTGTGTCTTACTGGCATCTTCAGGTCTTTAGAGATGAAAAGTAGAAAAGGTTTTTGAGTCAACATTGCTGTCATAAGCCTTTAATACTCTTTGGCAGGTATAAAATTGACCCTTGATGAATCTTAAACTATATTTCTAAATAAATGATTACGGTTTTAAATGAGAGATCAGTTTTACATGAACAATATGGATTTCATTCTGCTACAAATACAGCTGTAGGCTTAATTATCTTGTTAGGATTTAACTTCCCTGGATGCTCTTGCTGTGAAGAAAGAAAAAAATAGCGAATACTGAGTGCTTGTCCCAAATGGACTGGAGAGTCTCACTAACACCAGAAAAGGTTTGATTTTTACTTGGGTTTCCTCCAACAAGTATTACTTCAATATCTCTGGTCATATGGTTTTAATTATATTTTATATATTTTCCACTGCACTTTTCACTTCCATTCTTCAAACTGACGGGCTGAACTTGTCTGATTTATTGTCCGTCCTGGTAAAATATGACAACCTGTAGATAGCACAGAATGAAGGGAAATAGGAAGCCAGGAAAATGTATAAAATGTATTTGTAACTTCATTACAAAGTAAAAGTCTGTTCCTCTTCGATGTGGGGTTTACTTACAGTCTTTTGTGAAAAATCCAGAAGAAGAATCCAGAAGAAGAAGAAAAAAATTAAAATGGATAGGTCTCAGATAGACCCTGTTGGAGAAACCCCAAGACATGATTGCGGGTTATTTAATAGAACACTTTCAAGTAACATTTTGAATAAGAAAATCCTTGCACTAAAAAGGCAAGGGGCCAAAAAGGTTTATGTTTTAAAACAAATGACAGAGTTGCTTGCAGTTCTTTATTCCTGTACTGGATTAATGCTGTTCTCATCTGTGTTTTTCCCTGAAGTTTTGCATCTCACTCCGCCCTAGGAGCAGTTTGGTGGACTTAACTGTCCTTTCTTTGGTGTTTCAGTGTTCAACATTGAGCTAAAGTCATGTGTATGAGATATATATATATATGCGTATGTATGTATGTGAATATATATACATTCATATAGAAATATAGTAAAACGATTAGAAAACACAAAGAGGTCATTGAAAGCCGAGATAGAAATCCAGAATTTGAAAACTTTTTGATACCACAGATTTCAGAAATAGAATTAATGCCAGGAGTATTTAAAATTTGTTTTTCTTTAAGAGTAAACTTGATTTGCTGTTTGTGTTTCACTTGGCTAAGGAAAAATGCTTAAGCAGTTTCTTTTTCTCCTCTTATGGTAAATATTACTTTCCATTTTTCCTTCATTTTAGGGCAGGGAATGCTATTATTTCTGGCAGGACAGGAAAATGCTTACAAAGAGAAATCAGTTTTTATTGATTATCTTTAAATGTACAATGAAGGAAGGCAACAGGAAGTGAATCTGAGACCCATGAGATTTATGCTCCCCTCTTTAAGCTATGTACAGAATTTTTGGAATGATATAGAGCTAAATGTTTTATTTTACAGAAAACTCAAGGGGAAAGATCACTGGGGAAGTTATGTATATTTTTAAAAGTAACTTTTCCCCCCTTTGTACATGCTTTTCATGAACTCTGCTTGGCAAGAGTCACTGACATTAAGCTAAGGATATAGTTTATTATTAGCAGTTTGATATTCTCTCCTTTCTCATATATATTTCTCCTACCTGCCAAAAGATAATTATGAACGTAAAACCTAAAAGAGTTTTTTTCTGACTAGAACCTCTTGAGGGCACAAGTAAGTAAATACATCCCATTACTCAAGATTTAGAGTAAATTTAGAAAGAAAAAATGACTCGAGTCATGGAAAAGGTTTTGAAGAACCTGCCATTTGTCACTATTGCTTAATGGTAGACGAGTTAAAAAAAAAAAAAAAGCTTCCAAAAGAATTCTTCCTGTTATTCATTCCATAATTGTTTGGGGTTTTATGCGTAAAAACTTAAGTGGTCAGTAATTTTATTTTATGAAATTTTTCATAAAATGGGCCAGTTTCATAAAGACTGCAAAATACCAAGCCAGTGGGTTCTTCTGCATTCCAGAGATGGCCCTGCTTTCGAAATACAGTCAACATACAGTGAACTCTGCTATAAGGCGGAATCTCTTACTAAAAATGATTCACCCAGAGGGGTTATGTTTAGCTAAAGTTAGGGTTGCTCCAGAAACAACAGGAAGCAGGAGAATGGCAAAGTACAGAGGCGTCCTGCTTACCCCCGCCTGCTGTGTCTGGAGTTTGCACATATGGTGTAACATCAGGCAGCGAAGCCCCTGCAGTACGTTGGAACTAGTTAAAGGACAAAGTGTCAACCTTAATTTTGAATTGTCTTGCTGTGGTTGGTTAGAGGTTAAAATGTCACCTGCCAACTGGCAGAGCAAGGCGAGACAGGACTGTTGCGTATGACATCTGCCCCCTGTCGAGGAGTACTTCAAGGAATCAATGCCTCGTGCTCTTCTTGGGGCAACTTGTACAGCAACTTCAATTGGCACATCTCCATCTTATGTTTCACGTCATGTTTCTGTCAGAAGTTTTTCGAAAACTGGCCTTGGTTGAGTTTTACCTGCAATTGAGGTTTTATTTTTATTTCTTTTATTTTTTTAAATTTTATTCATTTATTTGAGAGAGAGAGCGCGAGTGAGAGAGCAGCAGAGGGAGAGGGAGAAGCAGGCTTCCCACCGATCAGGGAGCATGACGTAGGGCTCGATCCCAGGACCCGGAGATCCTGACCTGAGCCGAAGGCAGACGCTTAACCGACTGAGCCACCCGGGTGCCCTTCAATTGAGTTTTTAAAAGGCATGCCGAGAGCCTCAGAGAAATAGAGTGTATAATAAAAATGGGTCCATGCATATCGGATGGTGATGGTGCTAGGAGAAAACAGGTTTTTGTGTTGGGTTCGTTTGTTGAATATAAAATTGTGTGCTTTTGGGCGCCTGGGTGGCTCAGTCATTCACAACATGGGGCAACGTTGTGAAGACAGACCAGGTCTGCCTGTAAGTTCTCTAACTGGTGCCTGTGAACGTCAGGATCTGAGTGTGCCCATCTAGTCCTAAGAAACTGCTTGCTGCTGTCATTAAGGGGCACAGAAGGGAGTCCCAGATTTATACTATGTCACACTTAGCTTGAACATGTGTCACGTGTATGTATAAAGTGGGTAGTCAGCAGCAAACAACGACCTTTCCAGTTCGGAAGGTGCTCTGTTCTGAGAAGCAAGGGGAGACCATCTTCTCAACTAATTGCTGCCGAAGACAGTAATGATGACGGAGTGTTTCTTTGAGCATCCCTTGCTCTGTTTGCTGAAGGTATCTGCCTTTCCAGAGTCCCCTCACAGTAGGGTCCCACCCGAAGCTGTCTGTCATCCCTTTAGGATGAGGGCTCACGACTCTCCTTGCCTTGCTCCCCTTTAAACCTGACTTGTCATGTGATATGCCACCTTGTGCTTTCCTTCTTTCTGGCTGTCATGCATCAGGATCACCCAGGACCTTTAAGACACAGATTGCTGGGGCCCACCCCGAACTCTGATTCAATCAGTTTGGGGAGGGGCCCGATACTTTGCATTTCTAACAAGTTTCCAGAGGATGCTGATTCTGAGCCCCCAGCCCTAGAACCCTGTTCTAAGTTAACCATTTCATATTTTAGAAACATGTGACTTCTGGGAGATGGTTTACTGTCAGAAGTTAGTTAATGTTTACTTGTGTTATAATCTGATATAAACTTCTGTAATTGGGCTGTGGAAAGATCTGTATCGTCCTATTGGCTGAGGACATCCTTGTTCCATCTCTCCCTGTTTTTGTCACAGAAAATCATTTTCCTCAATCTTAATACGTACTATATACATGTTATAATTGTAATATGGACATTATATAATATAGACATATATATATTCTTTCATTTACCATTGCTCTATGACACAAACAAGATTTTATAGATGGGACAACTCAAAAAAGACCTTCATACACCCTCTGTAGTTTTCATGCGGTGGATTTTCAGTCACAAATTTCTCACTGACAGACGTGAAGACCATACTGCAGCCCAGAGAGATGGGTAAAGACAGCCCTTGACCAACTCCATAAAGCCACGTGTGTCTTGCAAAAGCAGAATGACTAGGCCAGGAGGACACTCAGGAGCCAGCCAGTCAGAGCTTCTGCCAGTAGGCAAGATGGCACTTCAGTTGGCTCTGTCTAAGAAACGGGTCTCCTGATCTTAGACATCTGTAGGGAAAAAGATGATGCACTCTTGCTGAAGAGTGGTCCTTTCTAGGGCCACAAACCACTCCTTTCCGCACAGTCGTATGTCCCACATACATTGCTCATTGAGAGGAACAGGCTGCGGATGGAAGCTAGGCAGTGTGGCAGCGTGAGCAGGGCTTTGGCAGCCAGGAAGGGGCTAGGGGGAGCGGCAGTGCGGACAACCGACAGCGAACACCTCAGGTGCCATCCACTCTGAGCTCTGCACTCGTTAAGGGCAGGGATGTCAATGAATCAGCTGATCTTTCATAAAACCTAAAATACCAAATGTTATATGTTTGTATTTAATGTTTTAAAATTACATTTTCAAATAGCCATAGTCACCAGTTTTCTTTTCTTTTTTTTTTTTTTTAAGATTTTATTTATTTGAGAGAGAGTGAGAGAGAGAGAGAG